GAGGTGCGTATGTAGTTCTACATTATAAGATTGCATCCTTATATAAACTTTTTCCATCATTAAAATGCCCTCAAGAGATAAACAAGTTAATAAGAAAACCGAGTGCATGGAGTCCCCTTCGTACAGAGCGGTCACAAACACCACAACCTATTTAATGTAGGCCAAAGGATTATTATACTTCATTCTATGGGAGTATAATGTCCATTTACCCCCTCGGGTATAATTAATTTTAGAACCCCAAATTATGGGGATGTAGCCTCTTTAACCATAGATTAATTTCAATAAATAAATAAATAAAAATCCCTAATTGCATCCTTTATGTGCTTGAAAGAAATAATATCTCGAAATTAAATAGAGACCATCTAATTTTTAGATGGTGAGATTTCAGGATTAAAAAATTCTAATTTCAATTTTTTTTTTTTTAAATAATCATACAATAATTCTTTGGTGGTTTCTAAAATTTTAGATTGAAACTATCTGAATGAGTCTTTTGACCAATTGGAGGGATGAATGTGTCATTTCTATGCACAAGACTCAAGGAACATTTTCCCAAAGTTTGTTTTATCAATGGTGAACTGCAAGCGACCCGATTTCACATTAGGTGACTAGGGCTTGTTCAATGGCAAACTCCCAACCGCCCAATATCACATCAGGTAACTCTTGGTTTTTCTTAGCGATGAAAGATCCAGGAACTCGAATATCACATTAAGTTTTCCACATCTTTCTCTCTCTTATCAATGATATCTTCCATAAAAATTTCTTTCCCAAAAATAGCATTCTCCATGTCCCATCCCAATCCATTCGTTTCCCATTTGCCTTGCACGTCCCAACCAATATAGGAAAAATCTTGTGGTTTAAATCATAGCAGCCCTGCTAGATCGGAACCAGCCGGTTCTGATTTCGTCACGTCTTGGTTAACTGATGAGGTATTTTAAAAAAGTTCAAAAACATTTATATAAAATCTCAAAAATAAGAGATTTTGTTTGTAATGTATTTTTAAATGTTTTTCATCATTTTGATAAAAGATTGAAAATTATTTTGGCTTTAGGTATTTATTTTTATATTTTTCCATCTTTCTTGAAAAATTTCAAAGATACCTCTAGACACAAATCGATTCTTTAAAATTAATTTTTTCATTAATTTTCAATTTCATTTAGATGTGCTTTGTTTAATCATGTTTTAAATATATTTTTCATGTTTTATTGTAATTTTTGTATTTTTAAATTTTTTAATACTTTTTTTACCACAGGACTTTTCCCAGTTAGACAAGGTTTTCCAGTTAGACAAGGTGAACCTCTTCCGACCCCATATCCGGTTAACTATTCCAAATCAATTTTTCTTATACTTGTCCCAACACAATCTTCCCCCCTTTTCGTCTAAGTTCTCCATCACCACCCTCAACAAAAGAGATAATTCCCTCTTCCTTTTCATCAATAGGGTCAACATTTGAATTTGGAAAAGGAAGCTTTCCGAGGGGCCTAAAGCATGAGAAGCTAAACCGTAAGAGCCGGAGCAAGAATTAGAAGATCTCAATTGCTTTTTTTTAAGGGTGAGGTTTGCATAGAGTCGAGGCTCTAAACAATCAAAGTAGAGTGCACATTTAAATAGCGTCGAAAAATATGGTTTTAATATTGGAAATCTTGATAATAGCCTAAAAATATATTTTTATCTCTTATTATAAAATTTAAAGCTTCAAAAATAATGTAGATCGAGCATATCTATGAAAACATAAACATCTTGAAAATTGACGGACCAAAAATGCATTACAAGATGCACTATTTCCAAAACTAGAAGTCTATTTTTTTTCTCATGTCCATGCATCTTGATGTCGAGATAATCAATTTGAAGATATTTAGGCATCAAAACAAACTAGTGAAATTTTTTAGGTGTGCTCTAATTTGATTATTTAGAGCCTCGGCTCTATATAAACTTTTCCCTTTTCTTGACCCATAGTTTTTTAACTTTAAAATTCAGTTTGAAATGATTTAACCTCAAATAATCGGAACCCTTGGTAGTCCGTGCAGTCGTTGAAAGTTCAGATCTCGGTTTGGGTGTGCCATGGCAAGTCCCTCATGGTTCTTATGACTGACCTGGCCATGAGGAACTGAGTCGACCTTGTTTCCCTTTCTACTATGAACCACGGTTCACCCTTCATTGTCAACCTCTTTCTTTCTAACCCACCAAGATCAATGGATCCCTCAACAGAGGAGCCCACCTACTTAAGTCCTTCAATTGAAACAACAATAATAAAGTTTGATGAATCAACAGAAAGACGGATCTTCCTTGGTAATGGTGAAAAGGAATTTATGTTCACTCTCACTCGAACAAATGATGACTCAGATCCCTTCAAAAATTTCCAGTCCAGACCTAGAAGATCACCACACAAATTAACCAAATTTTGAAAAACTCCCAAATTCCATTAGCAAAGAGGGATTCCCCACAATTTAATCCAAAAAATATTTTCCGGATTATGTGAAATATATCAACCGCATCTCCAACTATCCATGGTAAGAAGCTTATCTCTCACCCTCCCATGCGTAGTGCCCAAAACCTTTTCTGCCTCCAAATCTGAATGCAAGCAAATACAAATTTGTTAGCTTCTATGTCTTTTACTAATAGCTCGTACTATAGAAACCATGCTCTCTTCGCATAGTTTTCCATACCAAAAAGATCTTTTAATGGTGGAGAAAAAGATCCGACCACCAACTAGGAAATACACTCGGAAGACTCCACAAGGGAGTGGAGTTGGGGCATTTGGATGGGGCCCGATGCCCACAGCACCCCATCCCTGCATTCCCACTGTTTATCATATCAAAAGTAGCTGTTGGGAATGAGGTTGGGGGATCGGTGGTTTGAACGGCTCATGCCTCAACATACCGCCTCGTACTCCATCCCCCAGTTGAAGTATCAATAAATAAATAAAGGGAAAATATAGAATGAGATCATTTACCTTTGATACAACATGGAATCTTGACCATTAAATGTGAAATTGAGTGGATGCAATTATTTTATTGACCAATTTCAAACTTCAAAAGAAATATTCTCAAACTTTGTGACAAATCCAAGCTATCAAATTTCACATTAAATAGTAATAAGAAACTCTGACCACTTTGTATCAAAAGTAAATGGTCTCATTGTATACAATCCCATAAATAAATAAATAAAGTAATCCATAAGTTGGTTGTCTTTGCATATGAGTCATCTGTTTTGCTCGTCTTCTTCGGAGTCAAGAAATTTTATGTTTTTACGAGTCATATTACTATCTAGTTCATTCGTTCCAATATATTTGTATGAAAAAATGATGAGCACACATATTGTACACTTACACCCTCGGGCAAAAGAGCCATTTATGGGGAATTTTTTCTTATTAAACTTTGGGACACATCCAAGAATAAAAATTACTGTTTTCAAATAGCATATATATTGTGCTCCTTCGCGAGCATAGCTTACTTCACTCCCTCAATCAGATGACCCACTTGGGAAGATTTTTTCAATATGAAATTTTGAAATATAAGTTTTCTAACACTTAAACCTAACCTTCTAAAAATTGGATGGTTTGTATTCAATCTTGAAAGATTACTTTTTTCGAAAGCTTAGAGGGTGTATGAATGTTTTTTTATTGAGGCTAATTTGTTTGTTCAAGGGAAAGTAGATTGTGACCTTTTTATTCAAATAAGAATTAAGGTAACTCTCAAGGGAGTAGAATATCTTTTGGCTTTCAAAAGAAATTGAAGTCCTAAACAATTAGGAAAAGTTTATACAGTGCCGAGGCTCTAAACAATCAAATTAACACCCATCTCAAAAATTGTTTTGATGCCTAAATATACTCAAATTGATCATCTCGACATCAAGATGCATTAACATGAGAAAAAAATGGACTTCAAGTTATGGAAATAATGCAAGTCTCTTCAACTTGAGTTGGGTTAAAAGCACGGAATGTATTTGCACCATCACCATCTTCACATAAAGTATTTTCTACAGTAACACCATGAATAATGCAAAGCGGAGCTGGATTTGTTTGTCTTTTGTTGAATCCTTTTCAAGGCTCGATAGATAATTTGATAAGCCAACGATTTTTTCCATGCTTCAGAATACGGTTAACTAACATGTTAACTAATCGATTACAATAAATTGGATCGGATTTCACAGTTTTTTCGTCTGCAATATCTCTACCTTCTGTATCTTTATTTTCTTTTTCCCCTTGTATCAAAAAAATCAATAAAAATGAAATTATCTCCAAAAAAAAAATGTTTGTCATGCCTAATATCTTCAATTTGATCTGTATCTATCTTCATTTTGCCTTTCATTTGAGCGGTTTTTTCTTCTTGTAACACATTTTTAGATGGTCAATTTTCAAGATTTTTTAGTTTTCATAAATATGCTTAATCTACATTTTTTTTAAGGTTTAAATTTTATACTTAAAAATAAAAATATATTTTAAGGCTATTACAAAGATTTCCAATATTGAAGCCACATTTCTCAACACTACTTGAAGGTAGATTGTACTTTGATTGTTTTGAACCTCACCTCTATACAAATTGCACCCATACAATTATGGGCATTTTCGAACAGTAGAATATGCAAATCCTTGTCATTTGGGTGTATTTCTAAAGGATACATCCTCAAAACCTCTCGTATGCAATATTTGCTGATTCCAAAGTTTTTTTTTTGGAACGAGCAATAGCAAAATTTTGGAAAGAAAATCTAATTGAGGATAAATTACATACATACTATAAGACCATTTGTCTTTGTTACGAGGTCAAAATTGCTACTAACCATTAGATGTCAAATAGGATAGATTGGAGACTATCTCAGAGTTTGAGAACTTTTTATTTTTTTTGAAGTTTGTTGATTAGGGTCTATCACAAAGTTTGCTACAACCACCCAATTGGAAATCTAATGGACGAAAGCAATTATGAACTCCCTGTTTTAAAAATATAAGGTCTCTTTGTATTCTTTTCCTTAATATAATACCTTTAAACTGTGGTGCTATGGTCACATTAGACACCAAAATATAGCACTTGTATTCATTAAGGAGAAGCTCACAAAACACCACACAGATCGCCAAATCAATCATAGACAATAGTCACCCAGGACACCAAAACGACGAAAAAAATGAGACATCTGCGAGCTCTTGGTTCCATTTCTAGTAAAATCAGACAATTTATACCTGCATGGTCACTCTACTCTTTATTTCATCTTAACCAAAAAAATGCCAACAGATAGCATTAAGCCCTCCCTCATCTCAAAATCAAACCACCTGGTAATTATCAGTCAGCAACTGCACCTTGCTTGAATATTTCGGAGGAGCACCTCCTTTTAAAGCTACAATTCCAGCAACCTGCACATAAGTAGAGAACGATACATTACCTCTATCTCTCTCACACACACACACAGATTTGCAAACTATTATAATGCTCCTGCTGTGACTTCGAAAAACTTACCCTCACTTCAGCAAATGTCTTGAGTGATGTAAATTCCACATTGATAGGGAAAAAGGCTGATGAATCTGCTGCCGGCACAACAAATTCCATTGAACCACTGGCACAATTTCATCCATGTAGATCTTTCAGTAATCAATAGAGAGAGAGAGAATACATTAATAAATGATTTCCCTTTCAAAGGGATATGCTAACAAAAATATAAAGATTGTATTCTCACTTCCTGTTAGAACTGTCAATGAGCAGAATGGACCACACTAAGCAAGTACGTCTTGAATCATAACTGCAGATGAAATCATACATCAGTAAAGCATACCAGCATGCAAAAAGCTCAATCGTTCAAATCAGAAAACAATAATCATATAGGTGCATAATTAAATTTTATGAACACCATGAATGCGTGAGTGTGCACAACCACAGATTCCTTTGAAATTTGTCTTTAGAACAGTTTTGAAAGGAGGCAAAAAACCAAAAATTAGGTTATCAGACTGAATTTCAGTCAAAGTCAATTAGAAGAAATACAAGTTTTTGATAGAAACAGATAATCTGGCCGTCAGATAAGTTTGCCAAATTTTCTGTAGAATTTAGAAAGAAGAATTTAATAACTTGGTTTGGTTGATTCGATTCATGAAATTAATTATAATTATTTCAAAACTGGGCCAATAACCTCTGAAATTAGTCTACATTCTTCAATACTGTAGACCCCATTTAAGTTTAGACCAGCAAGCCGAAATTATCCCAAATATCGCCCCACAAGTCAAAAGCATAATTAGAACATCACTACAAATGAAAACCATCAGAATTCCCCCAAAAGCACAATGTAAACTTGGCAAAAAAAATAAATCAACAAAGATAAGAAACGACCGAGACTCACCTCCATTCTCCATCAACCTGCCTGACACTGGGAGGATCGCGAACGGCAGGCAAAGGTATCGAAATGGCAACATTGTGGAGATCAAACTTTGATGAAGCTTCATACTCTATGCTCACATATGTCTCCCGACCAGAAACAGATGGCCAACAGTTGACTACCAAATTACGAATATATTTCCAAATAAGAACCTAGAGAGTACACAAGATACAAAATACGTATAATATAATCCAGTGAACTACGAGAAACCATCGTCCATTGGGTCATCATGTCCATTGAAATGACGAACACAGATGGAGAAAGAGGGACCCAACATTGATGTCATTCCTGTTCTGCTGGATCTCTATTACCCTTCATTTCAATGGATGGTGGTGACCCAATGCAAAATTGTTTTTCCAAAGTCCATTGGACTTCCATAAACTTTCACAAATAGTAGGAGCCTTTATGAAATACAATATAGAAAGGAGGACTAAATGCAATGAAAAGTTGAGAACTTAATCTCACTGCTCAATGGAACAAGAGACTCATCGGTGCTTTGCATTCTCCATCTGAGGAGGCCAAGTCCAGCTGCATCACCCGTTTGGCTAGTGGGGAATGGCCTACTAGGATCTTTGAGGCCTAGAATATTTTGATTTGAGAACAACTCCCTGTTGATGTTAGGATGGGTTTTAAACTGGAAATCCACATTGTCTCCTGTATCAATCTGGGCAAAGACACTTCGGTTATGTATCCCCTATTTCTTTTATTGAATACCCAGATGACAAACTTATGATGCTCTTTGCAAAATTCTAATGCTTCAAAGCAAGCAGCCCAGTTCCACTTACATGTCACCAGACAGGTCAATACTTTTTGAGATTAACATTATTTACACACATTTCACCATATACGTTTTTCAAAATCATGAAATCATCAAAAGACTTTACAACGAAATATATTCTTCTTAAATACACTAGATTCCCGCTCATCACCTTTTCTCAAATAAGTATTGGAAAAATACATTCATGCTTAGCACAGCTTGTTTGGTGACAGGTCAAACTTCAATGATATGAACTCACCCAAACTGAGATGTCTACTGCTAAACAGAAACCTAGGGACATCTAACAAATGTTTACACCTGAAATGTAAGTCATAATTCATAACAACTGCAAGTAATAAAACGCGGTAAATTAAATTGAGATATAAGATGCATTTTTTCTCATTCTTTAACTTTTTTTATTTTCTATTTTATAGAAATTCTCCGCTATGTTTCAAGGGATCCCAAAAAAAAACAAATAAGATTTTTGAAGTATTCCAAGATACTAACTTGTCGAGAAGACTCTCAAAGTACCTATTTTATTATGACTGATTAGAAAGACAACACCACCCCTTTTTTTTTCCACAAAAGAAGCTCCTCTTTTCCTTTATGAAGCACCATTATAAATAGGGGTGTGTGTGTGTGTGTGTGTGTTTGTCCGTGTGAAGAGAGAAGAGAGTGTGTGTGCGAGAGAGAGAGAGGAACCTTTTTTTTTCCACAAAAGAAGCTCCTCTTTTCCTTTATGAAGCACCATTGTAAATAGGGGTGTGTGTGTGTGTGTGTGTGTGTGTGTGTGTGTTGTTGTGTGTGTGTGTGTGAGAGAGAGAGAGAGAGAGTGCGTACGTCACACACAGAGGTCGGTCGTCGTCGGTGGTCGTTCGTCTTACTACGTAGGAACGGAACTACTACTAACTTACGTAGAGAGAGAGAAGAA